CTGCCTCTTCCGTAACTAAAAACCCTTTTTATCAGTTCCTTTGTTCAGTTTCTAGATATCAGTGATATGGTTTTATAACGTGAAGTGATAAGTTAAATTTGTAGTCCACGATATCTAATCATAGTCGATATGATTCCTTTCAATTTCGAATAAATTTCCACTTTTCCCAAAAATTTTTTCCACGTCAAGCACTAGTGCTGTTTAATTAGCTACATAATCTTTAATTTTTAGAACATCAGAACTAGGAACTGACAGAAGTACGACTTAATTTGCATATAAGTTCCCAATTTTCAATTCATTACTATTTTGGCTCCTAAACAAAGATGCTATGCATTTGATCGAATTTAACCTTAAAACACAACAGAGCTCTCATTTTTTGAATAAGTGAGTTAATCTTAATCTTTAAAGATTTCTATTTACTCTAAGATTCTAGAAGCTAAAACATCCCAGTGATGCGGGCTAGAAGGGCTGCTTATTGCTTTGGTACAGACTAATTTTTTATACGGAAAAAAAAATTAATTCACTTTGTGTAATACAAAAATGAAAAAATGTGACTTTCAATTAGAGTGAAAAATGGAAGGAGAGAGATAGAGAAATAGAAAAAGGAAGATTTCACCGATGTTTTAAAACTAGTATCATTTCATCTGACAGTTTTTAGAAATTTAATTGCCACATTTTAATATGCAAATGTTTCAAGGTTACCGTTTCATTTACTTTTAATATTAAATGTTCAAATACAGTTGGTAAGCGAAAAAATAAAATACTAATTGGAGTAGTAATTTAACTTATAACCTGCCGAAAATCTTGTCCTATTTTGCAATTATTTATGCATTGGGCCACACTTATAATTAATTAGGACAACCGTAATTATTAGCACTCGATATCACTCGTCCGTCACCAACACTATTTATTCATCCGCGAAGATTTTTCCATCCTGGACAAATATTAATGATAAACGATAAAAATGCTCATAAATAAGGAAACCACGGTAAATCATTATTGATAAAGGAAGTTTGGTAAAAAGAATTGTTTTTATCCATTCGATAAGAACAAATAATGCTGGAGTTCCATTATCAGTGACGATAGTGACGATAGCATAGTCGAATGACTATGCTTTGTTACTGTATTAGCAAACTTAAATCATACGCATGCAAAATTTGTATACAAAAACAATCTTATCAACGTGCATTTCAATGATAATAAAAAATTTGCATGCTATAAGATGGATAAAATGATTTTTTTCTTTCTGAATATCAGTTATCATTCTCTCCCCGAAAGATACAGAGATAATTCGAAATTTCAAGAATATAGCTGTGTGGTTGGTTTTGCTTGTCAATGCAGGCTCAACTATTTCGTAGGATGGACATAAATTTTAATGATGATATCATTCAGCTACCAGTACAATAAGTGTTATGTTAATACCTGCAATTTCAAACTTAACCGAGAACTTTGGTTTGACTGCTATTTCAGTTATTTAAGAAAGATAAAAAGTTCTGACCAAATTCTAACAAACATATGAGGCGCTCCTGTATTCTGGTGGAATTGATTGTTGTAACATGGATAACGTTACTGATAGACAATAATTCCGGAACTGAAACGATTCCATTTACAATTACCATAAAAGGAAAAGTGGTGTGTGGCAATAAAGCAGCTTATGCAGTGCTACTTAATTCCTTTGAAGAAGTCAAATGCAAGTTTCTTGTCTCAAAAAAAATTCAAATTTATTTAGGTTATCTTAGGTAATTTTATGTATATTTTCAATTTCAAGAGAAGTCTCTTGAACGATTTTTCTACACCTTCCACGTAACCTTTCACCGAACAGATTTTTTTCCTGTTCATCCGTCTTGATTTATTCATCACAAATTATTAAGGCCCGTTTTGTCTCTCCAGTATAATCATGTATCATATTCATTTACATGCCAACTTCACTGAACGCTGGTGTTTTGTCCGATTTTTGCTGGGCCAAAGGCCTATAGCTTTGTTACGGCTTGATTAATATCTTTATAACATAGACGTTCAACTCTATCTTCTTACCATTAATTACTTATTAGCACTAGTTAAACAACAGATTTTGTAAAATCCGATTTATCGGAAAATTTTAATTATTTAACTTGGGAAGGCTACGAGGTTGCAGTTAAAATTCGTTTGGTGGAAAACAGAAAAAGAAACATTTTAACTACCTAAAAAAAACTTGAAACTTTGTCGTTAACAAAAATTAGTAAACATAGCAATTATAGTTCCAAGGATTTTGAAACGAAATTAAAAGTGTTTAGGTGAAAAAATTGAATTACTGCATTCATTTTGAAGACATAAAGTATGGAAATGTGGCAAAAGGTATTTTACGGACTAGTACCTATTTTCTGAGCGAACGTAACGGTCAATTTATGGTATATGGAATTAGATATGATATGGATCATAAGATATATTTAAATATTACTCATCACTGTATGCCTGATGACAAACGAGATATGCAGAAAGTTAGTTTTGAATGCAATATTTGTCAAATCACTCTTTTTCATTATTCTTTCCACCATGATCTCCTTTTCGAAATGGAAACTTGTTGGACTAATTAAGGTGGAAAATTAAGATATATGAAATAACTAAAGCATAAAACAAATAGAGCTGAGAACTTTTGATAGCAGGCAGGGTGTTTCGATCACGTGAACAAAATTTTTTGCAAAAATTTAGCAATAAAATCTTTTAAAATAAAACAACTTATTAATTACATAAAATTGCACACCTTTTCCCAAATAAAATTTACAACGAACACCAAAACCGCTTTTGTAATTAAAAAAAAATACTACTGATCGTACAATCATATGTCATTTGCAGCGACTATACAATGTTTTTTATTTGAAATGTTTCATGAGGAAGGGAGACGAGACTTTAGCTGAACGAAGCTTTTGGAAACCTCATGTAATCATTGTAGATGATAGTATGACAATCATTAAGCCATTCAAGTTCACAACAATATTTTTAAAAGTAGAAAAAAAAGACAAAAAAAGTAAAGATTTTATGGAATTATATGAAAATTAGCAAAAAATTGCAGAATTGTTTTATGCAAGTGAATCATGAAATTGAAGGTGACCCGAAAACAGTTAATTTTGAGTTACATAATATTAATTTGGAAGCAATCTATTATCAGTCCAATGATGTGAAATGTGTTGATTGGCCCTATAAATATCCAGAATTTGATAAAACCGATCGCAGTGAACTGTGACACGTTTCATTATCCATTTATGTCCAAAAGTTGTTTTAGTGCTTTGTTTCCTTCCCTTAAAAATTATTATTATTATTATTATTATTATTAATTTCAACGTTTTTTCATGTATCATTAATGACACTTTGCACCTTTGCTTAAAAATTTACTTGAAAAATTGAAGAACAAAGTAAAAAATGGATACAAAAGCGCCTTCCGTAGTGGCTCAATGAATATTATTACAGTCATATGACAGTCTTGATTTCCCTGAACACAAGCATGAAAACTATGTGGAGTGACCTATCTGATTGACTTCAAGTTAGTTAATTCATTATTCAAGAGCTCTCAACCTTGCTGTCACAGTTTTGATGAAATGTTTTTTATAACTCTCATTCTATGTTAACAAATCATCAGCTGTTTTAAATTTACAGAACAATGCTCATTATTCCAAATATATTTGAATGAACTCACAAAATCAAGTTGGATTGATGTCGCGATTTCAGGACTTTACTAAAAGCTAACCTTCAGAAACATAAAAGTGTGCTAAATTATAGAACTAAAACTTGCTACAGATTGCTTTATCCAATTTCTTCTGCATTAGATTTTAATTTGTTTATTTTGTTTTTTTTTGTGTTATTTTAATTTGTTTTTTCTTTTTGTTTTACAAATATGATATTTGCCGAGTTTATATAATTATCGCGAAAGATAAGAGGTAATGGAATGATCGCTACTTCTTTGGGCTCTTAATTTTGGGTAAAAAGTGCATTTCCATATGAAAATTGTAATATTATGCAAAGCACATTGTTGTAATACGGTTAAACTACCGTAATTATGTCAACAACAATGATGCAATATTTCCTGAATACCTATTAGTGATATTTATTGTACTTTTATAAGAATGTAATAATAATTTTTGCAAAGTAAAAAAACAAATTTTCAACATTTGGAATGTCATAAATTTGAAGCTCTTAATGGATAACTTATTTGTTTTAAGTTGTAATCGAACAATTACAATTAGCTTTTTCTATAAATGATTGTAATCTTTTGAAAATGGCAGTTAATGTCATCAGATTTCCAAAATTTGCATATCATTAGAAATTTGTCCACTGACGACGTAGTCCTATCATAGTAGTGGTAATGATCGCTAAAATATTAACAAAATTTAAACACCGTAAAGTCACATCATCAATACAATAGTGATGGTACGATAATAATATTCATTACAACAACGGAAATACTTAGGTCTGACAGTTTTCATGCTAAAATTTCTCATTAATTTGCATTCGTCTTCGAAACTTCTCACCCCCTTCTACCATTAGACATTGATAAGCTTACTGATACCAGTCTTAGTCTAGTAGCAATACACTACCGAGCAGCTGATCAGCTGATTGATGTGTTGGATGGGTTGTTCAGCAAGCATACTACGTATTTCTCGAAATTGCAACATTTCATTGCTCGTCATTACTAGCATTAAAATGTAAATTTCATAGAAATCAGTGCAGCTCATTTCGAACTTCCCGTCACCTGTCATATCATTCACTTCTTTTAGCCTATTCGTGTAAATCATTGATTCGAAGATTTTTGATTCTTAGTTTCAGAATCCGGAATTCTCGGATATTTTCAATTTGATAGCATTAGCTTCCTTTTGAAGATTTCAAAGTAATTTTGCATTGCAAATTTGCAACTTCCTTTATTAATTTCAAAATGACAATGATCAAACAATAATTTTGTAACAAATAGTGCACCGTTTAAAGAGACAACTTAGAAGAAACAAAAAACTGAAATAAATGGAAGGTACACACAAACAAACAAAACATATAAAAAACAGCAAATCAAAGGTTAATCCTGTTGGAGATGAATTTTCTGCAGCAAGTAAGTGATAATGATTGGAAAGAAAAAAAATCCCTGAGCTAAATTAGAAGACACAAACCATAAGCAGAACGAAAGCTGGCACAGATGTATGAATAAATAATTTAATGATTTTAAGTGAACTGCACGGCGAGAAAAAGATATGCCATATCTTAAGAATACATCTATTGATTGGATCATTTTTTTATATTCATGTCATCCATACAACTCTTCAAAGCTGTAAGAAATCGCGAAGTGTTTCAAATCCTAAATATCCGTTAAATGATTCCTTGTTCAAGCAAGTGGTATGCTCACTAAGGTTACCTTTCAATTTGGTTAAAAATCTGACCATTAATTTACCAAATATTAAAAAACAGACAAAACACTAGAAATTGTTTCATTTAACAATTAATATTTACTAGTCTGATCCAAAACTTGATCTCTAACCTCTGCAGTAAAAAACATAATTAAACTAATTACATCATCAGCTGAGATAAATTCCAGCATCCAAAAAATGAACATTGCTATATAACTAAGGACAATTAAAGAAGCATAGATATGATGATAATATCGCGTAGACAAAAAAGCATAAACCTGAGGAGATCTGCAAAAGGATAACAGTTAAATTTCAAGTAAACAAGGTCATTTTTTCATTCGCAGTCAATCAACTTTGCGGCAAATTAAACCTTTGTCGAATAGCCTGTATCCGATCACCGTATTGCTGCATTGCCTGTTGTCGACGAAGCTCCTCTTCGGCAGCCTTTTCTTCATCAAACTGTAAGGTGCTAGAACCTGTCATCAATTCACGATTCAGGATACCACGTAAAATTACGCAGACACCGTTTAGGATGAACCGGCTTTCAAAAGTTATCTGCAAATACTGTTGATTTATATTTTTCCAAAATTTCAATGTTTCAATCCATTTATTTGATACGAATGCAAACCAATTAAATTCAAACAGAAGTATCGTAGTAGTTATGTACTTGTATACTTCAGCACTGAAACAAATCATGGAAACTAATTTACTAGGCATGCCAAAGTACTGAAGAACCACAAAAGACTGGGAACGGAATTTCATTCCTTGATGAAATCACAAAACATGAATTCCTGAGCTAAAACGGCAAAGGAATCTTCTCGAAACACATTTCATCAGGAATTCAGACATGCCTGGAATAACCTCATAGCACAGCAACAAGCTTTTTAAATCACAATAAATTAAGAATAAAAAGTACTATACCTCCTCTTGGCCAACTGTACAAGAAGATAAGGGAAAATCACTGTTATAACCAAACTGTGTGAATGTCTGAAAAAAGCCACGGCATGACTTGAATCTGGACTCTATTTCATTCTCAAATTAGTTACAGAACCATTAAAAGAGAAAAGATGATGCTATTTAGTGCTAACTATCGTCCCCATGAAACTGTCATAAGTCGAAAAACCAATAGGAATGACGGATAATCTGTTTGATAGTAGAAGACTTATGGTTGGAAATTTTTTTATTCTTAAATGAAGCATTCCTTTCCCCCAAGCTGATAAATTTCCGGACAAAATTCGCATTTTCCTCTGATACCTGAGGATTTAAACAGATTATTTCCACAAACAGATATATCCTTTGTTTGGATATATCTGTTGTTTGGAAATTGTTTGGAAGCAATGATGATGGTGACAGTGCTCTTAATAAATACAAATAGTAATGTGGTGTCGCAAAATGAATGGAAATTGGTTGTTCGGTAATTTGAAACTTTATCAACTTATTCCAAAATATGAAGGAGGGGGGAGAGGGAGGAAGAGAAAGGATAAAAAAAAAACCTCAAAAATACACAAATGAAGACGAACATTTCACGTCTACTCTTCTATTCTGTTATTTTATTTTTGCTTTCGATATCATCATTACTAGACTATCGCCATCCTTCGATAAAAATTTGTATTGTTTGAACAAACAATGTTTTTGCGGTTGCTATTTATCGTTTTTATTTTTCTATTTCTACTTCCCATACTGTCTAAAAATGCACTTTGCTCCAAAAGAAAGGAAAATCAAATGATGATCAAACACTGAACCCAAGATGATCAACATTGAAACATTGAATTTTATATGTCAATTATGAGTTTAACAAAATTTACTGGGAAACAAAGCTCTGCAGACTTCTGTGGTACTAAGGAAGGCAGAAATTATTTAAACATCTCAAATTCCTCTTAAGCGCAGTTTTTGCTGGTTTTCAAAGAGAAGTCTTACTTCCTTAACTAAGTAAGAATCATTCTCTTGTTAATTCAAAGTCCCATATATGGAACTTCGAGCTAACAAAAAAGATATCATGCCAGGATTTACACAAGGTTCAATTTGATAGCTGGCTTAAAAATTTAATCAAATTTCGCAGGAAAGAATGTAACATTGTTGATAGGAGGATATAGCAAACAGTAGAATATAACAAATGGAGTATGAGGTAACAAATAAATCCCAATTTTAAGTGGTCGTCAAATCTACCAACATGAAATTTTCAGGGATAATAAAAACAAAAAGACGATTTAAATGAAAGCAATTCCGCTCAGCAAAAAACTAACGATGAGCAAACGAGGCTGTTGCCGATCAGTACAACTTTGCAATAATGCGTTACGTCGTTCCACCGGTGGTGCATGCGGTAATCCAGCAAAAGCTATTTGTGATGGACCGATAAGCTGCCTGATTTCCGGGTCAGTTTCTAGAGAAAATAAAACAATAAGAAAAGCTGGATGAATATATGACCAGGATGACTAGTAAATTACAAAATAAAAAACTTTAAGTAATTTGAGAAATTTAAAAAATTCTCCACGACTGAATTAGCCGAAATTAACTTATAATAAGTCGTAATAATTAGTAATACGTATAAAGTTGCAATAGGAATAGCATGGCCTGATGAGTTGATAACTATAAAAAGCCGCAAGATCTTTATAATAATCAAACAAACTATAAGTTATCCAAAAAAACTGATTAAATTAAATTAGACTGCTCGTTACAGTAAAATGAAAAAAATCGTGACCATAACCTTTTACTACTCCAGTCAATATGGAGGGTGATACCGTACCCATATTTTCAAGTATTTTATATTTATCCATGCTCCGGAAATGATTACCGATCAGGTGGGCTACCGTACAAGACAATATCATAAACATACCGAATTTCTGGAGCTGATTATTTACCACCGCGGTCATACAACACCGCATTTGCTGGACGACAGCCGCAACCATGACCGCATATCTGGCGGCGGCAACAATAGCGGGTGAGATCGCGGCCCCGCCCATTCTACCACCAATATCACCAGCATTATCTTGCCGTTGCGTGTTTTCATCCTCCTCCTCTGCTTCCTTCGTTTTTTCTTCCATAATTGATATGAGTGGTAAGCATGCTAATATCCATCGGCATCTCACAGTTCAGTCATCTCCTTCAGGTTATCAGGAATCAGTCGATCGATCAACAGCTTATCTTCAACCATTCATTCATGCAGCTATTCGCAAATACTCACGTCGAAGGTATGAACTGATACAATCTCTAATTATCCTTTATTATCCAACTTGTTAACGTCACTGTTAATCACAGCAACGATGACAATAACATTACTTTGTAATTAACCTCGTATAGACCTAAAGGTACTTATGGATGTGTACGCACGTATGTATCCGTGTGTACGTGTGTGTATGTACATGTGTATGTGTGTATGCCTGTGTATGTGTACATGTGTATACCCGAGAATAAGGAATCGCGTGATAATAACTGTAGTATGGATTTATTGTATGGGAAAAAAACAAACGAGGAAATAGTATAGGTAAAAGGGATGACAAAGCTAAGATGAATCAGTCGATGGACGGTGACACACATTGAACGTGCTAGCTTCCAAATTACCGTTTTCCTTCTTCCGGTCGCATCGTTCTTTTTGTTTTGTTTTGTTTCGTTTTGTTTTTGTTTTTTTTTTATTTTTTAATTTTGTTAGATGACTGCTATTCATTTCTTTATCAACAAATGTTG